AGGCAGTTTCGGAGCATTTGTTTATCCACATGGCTTTTGACTATGTCTTTCATCCACAGGCGGTGAGTGTTGCTCCTTCCAGACCGAGCTGGAACCTCGACAAACTCATGCTCGCGCTGCGCAGAGGCAAGGGGCGCAGAGGCTTCCTGGAGGCCGTTGAGTCGCGCATTATTCAAGACAATGATCTGTGCGAGCGACTCCTTGCTTTCCCTACAGCTGATCAGGTTTTCGATAATTTGAATGATATGCTGAGTTAGGGGGGGCAGCGTTTCTTCGGGGCCGAGGCCCGTGTTCGTAATCCACTCGCTGAAGAGCGTCGTGAGCCCTTACGGCGCCGGCGCGAGCTTCGAATGGGTCTAGCAGAAGCGGAGGACGAGGAGGAGGAGGCTCGCATTGTGCAACAGCTGGCGGAACTGTCCAGGGAGAATGGGAAGAGGCTCAGGCGGGAGGCGAGGGAGCGGGAGCAGCAGAGGGTGGAGGAGATCAACGAACTCTGGCGCGATCGGCGCTTGGCGGAGGCCTCTCGCTTGCGTCGTCACTGGAGTCGCTCCGGGCCGAAGCTGCGCGACTATCATGCCGTTCGGGGCGCTGTAGCTAGTGCTGCTGAGCTCGCGGCCGATTTCTCGCGACCTGAAGCTGATGGAGGGATGGGAGCTACTCAGATTCCAAACTGGGCTGGGATGGAGGGATTTCCTACTGTCGCGTGCCTTGCCGCATGCCAGCCCTACGCATGAGGAGCGCAAGGCAGCTAGTCAGGACTTTCAAGGTATCAGACGCGCTGTGCTTAAGGCGGGCAAACGGCGAGCTGGGCCTTCGCGGGCTCCGCCTCTTGAGTTGTGGTGGCTGGTCCTGCGCCCCCTCGCGCGCGCCAAGACTAAGACTATGGGTCTCGGTGCTGAACCTGAGGGCTTACGGCTTCTTGTGTTTCAGAATTTCTTTTTTGGGGGTCTCGCGCGTATCCGAAGCTGTGGATGGGCTCCTATTCGTTGGCATTGTAGCGCAGGGGCCCCTTTACCACGTCCTGATGGAAAAACGAAATGGATTCACCTCCTGGATCCCATGGGGAAGCTGTTGATGACCACTTTGATGTATCAACGGGGGCCGGGCCGATTCGGAGACTGCGACCACGGTTTCGCCCCCCACCGCAGGGGGGGGAGGCTCAGCTCGCGCAGAATATTAGCGGGTATCACTTTTGGCGCGGTGGAGTCTCGCACGTGACCAACGCGCACGACTTAGCGAACGCGTTCAGTTCTAGCAAGTGGGACTCTATGCGAGCGGCAATCCCGTGCATGTTCTGGCCAGGGCCCTTGGGCTTCGGGGGGCGACGATATCGCTGGGCCGTTGTGCAACTTCGGGGATCCGATGAGCAGGTGGTTCTCCGACCAAGCAGCGGGGGGCTCATGGGGGATGGGTTTGCCGTTCGTTCCTTTGTCCACACTATCGAACCAGCGATGGAGCGCTGGCGCGCTGCCCAGCATGAATGGGATCGCCACTCTCGTTTTTTGCACGTCTGCTGCCCCGTATCCGGCACGATCCAGGACTTGTCTTTGACTAAGTATGTTGATGATCTTATTAAGAAACTGGTGGGAGGGAGGTTTACTACCATACAAGAACTTATCGAACTCAGTCGTCGTAGCAATGCTGATCTAGATAAGTCTCTCGCTCTGGATGGGTATAAGCAGAACATTAGCAAGAAGGGCACCCTGGTATGTATGGTGGGGCGGGGATCTTCGGAGGCACTTCGGCTTTTGCGAGAAGGTGCCCTTGCTTTCCCTGGTCGTGCTTCTCAGGTGATCAAGGTTCTGGGCTTTCAAGTTAGTGCTCAGCCTCATAGATATGCCGTCGAGTTTAAAACGAGATGTAAAGCAACGCAGTCTGGGTTTAATTCATTTGGGCTTTGTTGGCATCTCCCTGGGATTCCGCATCGATTACGACGTTGTTTTTTCTTGAGCAAAGTTTACAATGCTGGGCTTTCTGGTATTAAGGCATATGTTCCGACGAGTGCACAGTATCGACGGTTGACGAACCATGATGTTTTTTTTTGGCTTGGCGAGCTATGCGGGGCGAAGCCTTTGATCCGCATGCCGACCGACACCCGCGTTCTTTTTCGAATGCTGAAGTGATGGCCTACTGGAGGCTTGTCTCTCCCGAGCTGGAAGCTCGGATCAGGCGTCTACGTTTCCTTCAGGAACGTGTGCGGCGCCCGCAGTCTCACAGACAAGTTATCGCTGCACTATTCGCTGCAGTTGACTGTGAATCCTCGATCAATCCTAGTGGGCTCCTGAGTGCTGAGGCTCATCCCTGGGTGCGTATGTACTGGGAAGATGTAGAGGCCTTGGGAGTGCTCGGTGAGGGCTCTGATCTACTAGCTACACCTGGGGGAAGGTGCACAGAGTTGTTTAGAGTCGAGGAGGTGGGGGGAAAGGTTCTTACGTATTGATGCGCACGAACTTCGGAGTACATATCCAACAGTATGGATACCCCCATCCTGGACATATTCCTGGACCTGAACTTATGTTAGCTTCAAGTGCGACTGAGACCGAGCAAGAGCTTCAATGCATGATGTGCGATGGTGGTGACGTGGTTTGTGGTACTAGTATACCTGATAGGCGCGCTGTACATACACATACTATCGCCCGGCATGGATATCAGTCTTTATGATGTGTATTGAGCGTCTCTAATCAATGTTGTGGTTGCTTTTCTATGTTCGCTTCCAGGGTCATATGTCGTCGGCATCTTCGAGATTCGCTCGCGCGTGGATATTGTAGTGATATGACCGTTCGTAACCTCAGCCAGTTTGTTTGCCATCGTCGTATCAATGCCCGCTGTGCGTGTACTATGGCCGCAGCTTTGAGGCTCTGCAGTCTCACTTACGATTGCACCTTGATCCTCTGCCAGAGCCGCGCCCGCCCTGGCTTCGACGTCGGGTGTGGACAGGCGTCCTGCGTGGGTGCTGGCGCCACCCACGGCGGCGGAGGGAGGCGAAGAGGCCGTTCGTCTGGCGAAGCAGGCCAGGGACGTGGGCGCGGCGGAGGCCAAGGGAGGCGACGTGCTGAAGCAGCTCGCCACCATTCTGACGAAGTTATCGCTCACGAATGCCGCCGAGTTGAGAGACATATGCGGAGTGGTTGTTTACGCGTTTCTGATGCCAGTAGATGCGGCCGCGGCAGTGGCCGCCAAAGCCGCAGGCGTCCAGTATCACAACAAAGTGCAGAAGCTCAAGGAAGAGGACGGCGACGCGTCGTCGATGGGCCCACCGTTTTTTCAGGTGTGGGTGGCTCTGATCTCAGCAGCAGGTCAAGACAGCAAGTGCCCCGCGGACTGCAAGAAGTGCTTCGAGGAATATTGGGGCGACGAAGTCCTGGTGAAACCCCTCCAGGACTTGGCCGACCAAGTCCGCGCGCGCAGGATCAGGGCCACCAGAGAGCAGGAGTCCAAGGCAGATCGGTTCCGACTCACGTTCGCAGTGGACCACAAGTATCAGCAGCTCGAGAACCATCTCGTGCAGTATCTGAAGGCGGTGGGGGGAGAGCGGAAGGTGGGAGCAGCCCCGCGAGGGGCCCTCGAGAGGGACGCGGCCAAGCTGCGCGATCGCATCACGAAGTAGGCCGATCGCCCCATGAGTTTGGGAGGATTGTGAGCGGTAGCAGTATAGTGCAGCAGTGTGGGATGGGGGAGGCGGGCGGAGCTCGGGGCGGGGGGGGAGAGGGCGCAGCCGAGAGGCGTGCGGCTGCGGCCGTGCACGCTCGGGTCGTGGCCGCGATCGCCCGTGAGGTGGCGAGAAGGCCGATGCTGGCTCAGTCCGCTCGTTTGCGCGAGCTCGCGGCTCGGGGGGCCCTCGCTCCTTCTCGTCCTCCTCCGAGTGCTGCTTCTGCTGTCTCCACTTCCTCTTCGGGGGCCCCCCAGCCGTTCCGTTGTTCAGAAGATCAGGCCCTGGAAGGAGTCCCTGGGGACTCCCGCAGGTTTATTGCGCAGGGACGGCAGGTTTCAAGACCCAAGCCTCGGGCGAAAGCCAAGTCCGAGTCCAGGTATTTTTTGCAGTTTTGATCGGGCCCGAAGTTGGCCATTAGTCTATGAGTCTTAGCCGTGCCGCCACCCCCCTCGAACGCGTACGCCCGCGCCTAAGGGCGGGTCGGGGCCAGTGCACTCGGCCGTGCCCGAGGAGGTTGGATGCCGAGCGAAGCTGCCTGCGAGGGCCACTCAGGGGGCAACTTTTTGTTTGTGAGGCGTTGACTCACGGATCGGCCCCCTAGAGCTCGTTCGTTCGTTCGTTCTCCTCCTCCTCCTCCTCCTCCTCCTCCTCCTCCTCCTCCTTGTCCTCTTCATCCTCCTCTGTCTCCTCCTCCTCCTCCTCCTCCTCCTCCTCCTCCTCCTCCTCCTCCTCCTCCTCTTCCTCCCCCTCCTCCTCCCCCTCCTCATCAAGAGATTGACCTACCAGCAGGTGCCCCGCGAAATTGTATTACCCCCGATGGCCATAGGGGCCCAGTGAAGCTCTGGGTTCACCTAGGGGCCCTCGAAGAACGACAAAGAATACGCCTCTGGATTTCATGTCTTGCAGCATGACTTCTTATCGTATGTGCGCAGCGTGTCCACCTACAGCGCGCAGATCCTGGGCACGCCAAACCCAGGCCCACGATCGGTGGACGCGACGGTCTGGCCAGACCGAGAAGAAACTCGCAGGAGCTTCCCATGAGGTTCCCAAGGGGAGGGGGATGGGAAGGTTCGGGGGCCCCCAATGGGGAGGGGGAGGATCGGGGACCCAAAAACGCCGCGGTGACCACACTGTGTGGTGAGTCAGTGCGGATTTGTGGTGACCTCGCGTTTTTTGGACTTGGGTCGTTCTCCTGTGACCTCTTGGGCGATTGGGGCCTCCGAGGTCCCAGGACCGTTCGGCGCCTGGTCGCGGTGCGGTTTCCTGGGGTTCCAAGGTCACCGCGCGGTCTGTCACCGCACCGTTTCGGGACCAAGGAGGAGTGCGGTTAGCTGGCGTCACCCGAGAGGCCATCAACCATTTCCTGGACCTCCTGCCCCGGAAGCTTGCGCAAAACGACCCGAGCTTTCAGCCTATCTTGTGCGTGCAGCATCCAGGGGACGCGCCCCCCGTTTTGCGGTCGGCCTTGCCAAAGAGGAGGAGGAGGAGGAGGAGGAGGAGGAGGAGGAGCAGGAGCAGGAGCAGGAGCAGGACCAGGAGCAGGAGCAGGAGGAGGACGACGACGACGACGATGACGACGACGACGACGCGGGGGCGAAAGAGGTGGGAAGGAGGAGGGGGGTCGGACCTTGCATGCTGGTTCCAGGGGGTTGGTTCGGCGGCGGATCGGATGGGAGGAGGAGGAGGAGGAGGAGGAGGAGGAGGAGGAGGAGGAGGAGGAGGAGGACACAGCAGTACATCGTCTATTGTTATCCCATCTCTTTTTTCTGGTATGGAACCCTGACCAGACTGTTCTGCGCACGCATCCTAGTCGACACTTTCGCTCTCCTCCCCTGCCTTTGAAGTCACTGATGCTGACATGCCTTTTCCCGCCCTTCTGATTCGCCTGGTTGTTGCTTGGGATCCCTTAGCAATCTCGTCGGTTTGGGGCTAACCGCAAAGCCTTGGGTAGCAACCCAAGAATTGCCAGTCCATATTTTGGCCCCCCCTTTCTATTTCACAAACCCAGCAGCACAGCTAGTACTGATGTACCAGCTCGGCTGGCCAATCTTGCCTCGTTTACCTTTAGGGTCACCATCCTCGGCGTGACGCCACTTCTTTCGGATTACGCGCACGACGGACTCACCTGGTCCATTTTACCCTTGGGGTCCCCAACCCAGGACGCGATTACCTTCTTTCGGATGCAGCAGCCACTACACTGCAACGACAGCAAACCAAGCCTACGCAGCACACCGTACATAAGATCAGGCAGCCGACACAGGCTAGCCCAATTCTTGCTGTCGTCTCGTCTTCCACTCCCTTATCCTCCTCCCCCACCCTCCCCGCCACAGGGCATTACCCAGCTAACCGACATGTTAGTCCTGGTTGCCATGTACCTCCCTTCCTACCTCCCTTTCGAGATGACATGAGACCTGCCTCCCTTCACCAAGGGCAGCAGCCCAACAATGCATACCTCTAGCCACTTGTTTCCTTGTCTAGGGGTAGCAGCCAACAGCACTGTTACAGCAGTTGTTCTCAAGAGACTCAGACCCCAGGTCTCTCACATGAAAGTTAAGAGTAACAGCCCAAGACTTTCACTGCTTGCGCCTTGTTTCGTTTCTCAGTTGGCCACACAGCCTGTGCAACAAGATGGATTCAGAGAGGATGGGTTACATGGAGGAGGAGGGTGAGGTGGGGACGGCACAATTACCGCTTCTTTCTGCACGCCCAAGCTCACCTTGCAGACCGACGTGCTACTACCGCTTGCCCTGTACCTTATCTCCTACTCCCTTTTCGGGATGACATCCTGTCTACTGCTCCAGGGCATCATTTCGGGACCCGCAGTCCACAGGGCAGGGCGAACCGCCAGACAGGCCAGCCTTACAGGCCAGCCGTCAAGCATACGCTCAGCAGCCAGGACACCAGACAGGCCAGCCAACCTGGCCAGCCTACAAAACTGTCCCTTTCGTGTACTGCGGGCTCGTGCTTAACCCGGAAAGAGCCGACAAAAAGCACGGGGGTCTTGAGCCCAAGGAGGTTTGGGGTGAACCGCAAAACCCTGGGCGACGACCCAAGAACCGCTACGCGTGGTACATGCATACACCAAGCCGCTTTCTTTCTTCTAAGGGAGCAACCCAAGAGTTGCACACTAGCTTCGCCTGCTCCTCAGCAGAACTGTTGCAGCAGTCGTTTCTCAAGTGACTCGGGCACCATGTCTCGTACACGTAAAGCTCAGGGTAGCAGCCCAATAATTGCACTGTTTGCACCTACTGTCCCACTTGTCTATACAGCTTGGGCACAAATCTGGACTTGGGGAGGATGGGTACACACCGGGAGGGGCAGACGGTCGAAGGGTAGCAGCCCAAGAATTGCACACCGGCTGCCTCACGTTTTGTGCACTGTTCACGGGCAAGTGAACAATCTGCCCACCTGTCCTACCAGTTTGTACACTGTCCGGCGGAGGCGACGCTACGTTACGCAGGCGCCTTGTACATTCCTTTTTGCAGCATGTACCTACAAAACGACGGGAGGGTCTCAGTACACTCTATCCTTACTGATTTGAGGTTGATCATACTAAGGTACATTCTGCAGTACCTGGCGGGCGCCTACTATTTGTATTATTGTCGCCGCGACCTCTCTTCTCTACCTTTTCCGCGGCGCCCGCCAGGTACCCTTTGCGCCAAGTCGTGTACATTATTTTTGTCCTTGCAAAAGCGCCACAGTCGCTTACTCAGGTATGGGCAATTCAACAGGGAGGAGGAGGAGGAAGAGGAGGAGGAGGAGGAGGAGGAGGAGCAGGAGGAGCAGGAGGAGCAGGAGGAGGAGAAAGAGGAGGAGCAGGAGGAGGCGGAGGATCCGTAGCCAGTTTGGTTCAAGCCGTTACTTGATTCGGGAGTGCGGACCCCCCGCCCGCCCGGCCCTCGACACATGGGGCAGGGGGGCCCGCAGCGGGCGACAGGCTGGGCGCGGCTCCCGTCGATCCTGGCGGGGCGCCCGCGACTGCTTGAGCCCTGGCGCTGGGGGGGTGCCCCGAACGCGCCGCGGCCCGCAAGCATCGGATCCTGTGACATCCCCACGCTGGAGCCCACCGCTGCCCGTCGAACAGCGCGCCGCGGGCGCCAGCTCGCCACGGAGGCGGCACTCGATCACGAGCAGTACCCGACGGTCACCGCCACATCGTCGCAGAGAGCGGCACCAGAGACGCCAGCAGGAGCACCCACGCCTGCGTCGGCACCGCCGGCGGTTCCTTCAGCAGGGACGCGCTGGAGTTCATCCCCCAACGCGATCACCGACGTCCCTGAGTTCAGGATCGACCCAGGGTGGTGTCGTAGAGATACCTTTTCGTCAACAGCGAAGGGGTTCCCCCCCGCACTGGCGCTGCGCGCTTGGACCCCCTGGCGGCCGAAGAGTGCATCACATCCGCGCTGCCTTCCCGGGTGCACCCCCGACTGGCGGCGGCCTCGTCCCCGCCGCCCGCTGGAGCGACCAGATTCCAGGACCGAAGCCACGACGAAGAGGGCTCGCCCCATAGCCAAACGGTACAGTCCGTCCGTCTCACGACCACGCCTGCTTCGGTCGGGCCTAACGAAAGGGGAGGATAGGGAAAGGAGGGGGGGATTACGAAATCTGCTGCATGCAGCTGGTTTCGGCCCCACCGCCGGGCCCATTCCTCGATACATGGGCGCCTCCCGGCACCAGGAGGCGCTGGGAAAATCAGCTACGTGAGCTGATTCTCTACCTTGCCCTTTGCTATCCCCCCCGGGGGCGGGTGGGGGGGGGACACTTGTAGAGGAGGGAAAACAGATTGTGTATGTTGTTTTGCGCTTCCTCTTCATCCCCTCCAGCGGGGATGTCCATCAGGGGTGGGGGGTGGGAGGGGTGGGGGCAGCTCCATTCCGGATCCCTCGCCATTACTTCGGAGTTCCACGGCGGGGGATGAAGGGGGAAGGAGACAATGGGAGGAAGAGGAAGATGAGGACGGGGATTGGGAGAGAAATTGATTTCAGGGAGGGTTCTATGGGGTCATAGGGCGCTGGTATGGGGGATAACAAGGAGCAAGAGCATGAGGAAGAGCAGGAGAAGTGGATGGGCGGATGGAGGAAGGGAGGGAGGGAGGGAGGGAGGGAGGACGGAGGAAGATGAGGTGGAGGAGGAGGAGGACCAACAGCAGGGAGGAGGGAAGGGGGAGGAGGGAGAGGAGAGGAGGGAGAGGAGAGGAGAGAGGAGGGAGGAGGGAAGAGGGAGAGTCAACATCGGGTCCGCTGGCAGGGCACAAGTTGTAAGACCCAGATGGGCCCATGTGTTCTGTCATTGTCACGTATTTCCATTGTTTACTGTCGTGCGAAAGCCTGATGCAGTTGTGCCTTGACTTGGTTGAGGGCCAGGGAGATGATTTCTTCTACTCCGAAACAATGGTTGAAACAGCGTGTGCGGAGCAACCGATCGTGACAATATCGAAGGCGCCTACGGCGAATCGCCGCCGCACATTGCCTTTTGGAATCGCCCGTGTGGCCGAGCGTTGTGGCAAGAGCTCTTCGAAGCTATCGGGCCATGTGTTCCCCCAGCCGTTGTAGAAGCCCTTCGGGGAACACTCAGGGGAGGATGGCGGGGAAGATCAGAAGGAGGAGGAGGAGAAGGAGGAGGAGAAGGGGGCACATTGGGACCCTCTGGGGGGCACTCTTGGGCTTAGTGGGCCCTGGAAACGACAGGGCCGTTTTGTTACCGGTTCCGTTTTGCCGTTTTTGTTGCCGGTTCCGACGCCGTTTTTTGACCGGTTCCGGCTCCGGTTCCAGTCCTGGAGCCGTTTTTTAGCCGTTTCCAGTCGCCGTTTTTTTGCCGTTTCCACTTTGGAGGGACATTTTTGTGGAAACGGTGAAAAAACGGCCCTGCCGTTTCCGGGGCCCACAAAGCTCTTAGGGCCTCCTTGGAGCTCCTGAGAGCCTTTGGGAGGCATCTTGGGGGCCTCCTTGGGCCTCTTGGGGGCCTTTGGGGGCTTCTCGGGGTCCTCTTTGGCAGTCCCAGGGCATTCCTGGCCCGTCTGACGCCGTCGGAAGACGCCTTAGGGGCCTATCTGGGCTGACTTGGGGCCCTCTTGGGGTGCTCCAGGGCCGTCTTGGAGGCCATCTTGGGCGTCTTCGAGGCCTCTTGGGCCGTCTTGGGGCCCTCTTGGGGCCGTCTTCGGGGCCTCTTGGGCCGTTCTTGGGCCATCTTGGAATGCTTCGAGGGCGAAACATCGCGCGTGAGGGTAAACTGATGGTTGTTGTTGGTGGTGGTGTTGTTGTTGTTCCCCACATGTTTCGTGGGGTTCTGGTTTTCTTCCCTGCCGCGTCGCACCCGCGTCTCACACCCGCACACACCTCCCTCTCCCGCAGAGCGTGGCAGACGTGACATACACACATACATACATACATACATATATACATACAGACAGACAAACAGACAGACAGACAGACAGACAGA